CGAACGGAACGAATGAAAATGAACATTTGCCGTAGTTTCAAGTGAGGCAACGCTCTGATGTATCGCAGGAAAATAGACGAAAAAGTGTGCTTCAAATTGTAAGAAGAACAATGAGAAGAGGTATCGAGAGAAAAAAGGAAGAATAAACGGTTGCTGCTTTGGAGTGAACCAAAAAAATGAACTGGAATATACACAGTGGCAAAAGAAACTATTGATTGGGGACAGTAAAGCTTCTGAGTGAAGGTAAAGCGCGCATTTGTTTGCATCACGCGAACGAAACGAATTAAAATGAACATTTGCCGTAGTTTCAAGTGAGGCAACGCTCTGATGTATAGCAGGAAAATAGACGAAAAAGTGTGCTTCAAATCGTAAGAAGAACAATGAGAAGAGGTATCGAGAGAAAAAACGAAGAATAAACGGTTGCTGCTTTGGAGTGAACCAAAAAAATGAACTGGAATATACACAGTGGCAAAAGAAACTCTTGATTGCGGACAGTAAAGCTTCTGAGTGAAGGTAAGCGCGCATTTGTTTGCATCGCGCGAACGGAACGAATGAAAATGAACATTTGTCGTAGTTTCAAGTGAGGCAACGCTCTGATGTATCGCAGGAAAATAGACGAAAAAGTGTGCTTCAAATCGTAAGAAGAACAATGAGAGAGAAAAAAGAAGAATAAACGGTTGCTGCTTTGGAGTGAACCAAAAAAATGAACTGGAATATACACAGTGGCAAAAGAAACTCTTGATTGGGGACAGTAAAGCTTCTGAGTGAAGGTAAGCGCGCATTTGTTTGCATCGCACGAACGGAACGAATGAAAATGAACATTTGCCGTAGTTTCAAGTGAGGCAACGCTCTGATGTATAGCAGGAAAATAGACGAAAAAGTGTGCTTCAAATCGTAAGAAGAACAATGAGAAGAGGTATCGAGAGAAAAAAGGAAGAATAAACGGTTGCTGCTTTGGAGTGAACCAAAAAAGTGAACTGGAATATACACAGTGGCAAAAGAAACTATTGATTGCGGACAGTAAAGCTTTTGAGTGAAGGTAAGCGCGCATTTGTTGGTATCGCGCGAACGGAACGAATGAAAATGAACATTTGCCGTAGTTTCAAGTGAGGCAACGCTCTGATGTATCGCAGGAAAATAGACGAAAAAGTG